CAGCGGGGCGAGGACGCCTCGCACACCCGCGCCCGACCCGGATTCCCACTAGACAGGCCCGTTTGGGGGCGGTCTCAGTACCCCCAAATACCACTCATGTGGGCGACCTGGGGACCCCAAGCCGGAGAGCGCGCCTGCAGGCCGCGGGAGGGGCTGACTCCCCCTAGTTTTGTCTGTCGCCCTAGTCCGGTCGCCTCCATCCCCTGGGGGCAGGGTGCCGCCCAGGACCGGGTGTCCCTTCTACCGCAGTTCCCCCACCGACCTTGACCGCCTCTCCGGGACCAGCCCGGCCCACCGCCTCCCTCAGTCCCAGCCACTCCCCCGCCAGAGATGACACCTCAGACCATCCAGCTGCTCTTCTGTACTTTGGTGTTTTATTTCCAAATCTCAGGCTTATGTACAGGAAGTAAGAGCATTGGGAAAATAAAAAAAGGACCTAAATGGCCTGGCTGACGTGGCCAGCAGGCCACTCCGAGTATCCGGGCCTGGGCTTCACCGCTCGGCCCCGGGGGCGCAGTCCCTGGGCCCAGGGGCCTCTTGGCACGGTGTGGCCTGTGCGCCCCTGGCGACGGCCGCTGGCACTCGCGGGGCCAAGGGACAGCGCCGGGGCTGATACTGTGGGAGCCTCTCCAGCTGCTGGGCCCCCTCAGCGGCCTGCGGCTCCTTCCCGGGGCAGCTGGTTCTACGGCGGTCCTGGCAGAGTTCGGGGCAGAGCCCACAGCCTCCTCCCGAGACTTGGAGTTGCCGCAGGTGCTGTCCCTGTGCGGCTGCGCCTTCGATCCAGCCCCAGGCTCTGGCCGTGGGGGCTCAGAGGATCTGCTCTGTGCTGGAGGCGGAGATGTCCAGGAGCCGCCAAGCCGCGTACGGGTTGAGCTCGTCCTGGTCCCGGCAGAGCGCCCACACGTACAGCATGCGCAACACCTTGTCCTGCGGGGACGGGAGGGGCTGCCGCGAGGCTGGGGGCACCCGGGCGTCTCCGGGCTCCATGGGGAGGGCGCCAGCAGGAACATCCCCACGGCCCGGGACAGGGACTTTTGGGGCCCAAGAGCCACTCACGGCCTTGGCAAAACCAGGCCGGTCTGCCAGTTCTCGGGCCTTTCCCACCCCCCACTCCGGCCCTGGGGCTTTCCTCCACCCCCACTTGGCGGCCACAGGCAGGGCCAGGGGTGGGAGACCCCGCCCCCTCACTCACCGGGTCGCCCTCCACCACCTCGCCTTTGGGGTTCCTGATCACCATCACCAGCTGGGCCTGGAAGGTGACGATGAGCACGGGCCCCTGCTCCATCATCTTGCCCATGGCCAGCTGCAGGAGAGCCCAGAGTGTAGGCGGGCCTCAGAGAAGACCCCGCCCAGCTCCTCCAGGTGGCCGTTCCCTGTGTCCACAACCCTGCCGGAGGAAGGCTGGGGTACCTTGTTCTGAAAAGGTTCCCGGGCCGGCGCTACCCACTTCCCTGGGCCCTGCCTCTTGGTCCAGGACAGGGCCTCCCGCCAGCCTACTTCCAGTGGAGATTCCCCAAGACCCCTTCCTCTGCTTGGCGCCCGCAAGGCCATCTCCTGGACCCTGCCTGAGCCTCGATTCCTGCCCCTGGGGATCGTCTGGGGACCTCACAAGAGGCACTTACGTCGACGTTGTCAATGTCGAGGATGCGGGAGTGGAACTGTAGGCCCAGGGCCCTGGCGTGCTGGATGGGGTGGGCCAGCTGGCTGTACGTCTACAATAAGAGGCCACGCGCCTGTGAGGCGGCCGCTGGGACAGGCCACGCCCCATGGAGCCAATGCCTGCACACCCTGGCGCCAGGTGTCCTGCCGCCTGCCAGGAACAGCGGAGGCCAAGAGCCTGAGTCCAAGCGGGGAGGCTGGTGCCACCCCCTTGCTGGTCAGCATCACACACTGCCCTCTCCTGAGCACGGCACTCGCCAGGATGACCCAGTGACAACAGGATTCATCAGCCAAGTGGGCAATTCTCTTGGAACAGATTCCAAAGCGCGCGTCCAGAGAGAAGCTGGCGGCGCCTGGGCCGGTTCTTAGCGTTCCCACGTTTACCTCACTCAGTCTTGGCCCAGAATCCAATGCCTTTTCTAGGATTTGTCCTGAGCTGCAGACTGCCCCTCGCCAACCAGCCCCTGGGCACCCCCAGCCCTTGGCGCCTGCTCCCAGTACAGGATCTAGCCCCCGCCTGCATTCACACTCAGAGCCTGTGGGCTTGGCAGGCAACCATGATGGAAGACGTGCTGAGAGCTTCTCCTTTTTATGGAAATGCCTGATCTGCTGAGGGAAAAAATAGAGCTGATCCGAGTGGTTCGGCTTCTTGAAGATGACATTTTAACAACACCTCCAAGGAAGGGGCTGGACGCCAGCCGTGTGTCCAGGGGCGCCCAGCTGGCTGGCAAAGAGGATCAGCTGCAGCTTAATGGGCCCAAGGTGGAAAAAAAACACACCAAAACCCCAAAAAACCCACACCCAAACTCCTAAGTGCCTGCTGGATTAGTCACCATGCAGGGGAGTATTGAAAAAGCAAATCTGACATCTTCTCTTCTGCTTTTTCCCAAGTTGTTTGTGAGCCGGGTGCAGAGCAGAATTAGCCAAAAAAAAAAAAAAATTCTGGATTGCTTAAGACACAGCAGCAGGAAAAAAGCCAACCGCTGAAGACACAGGTCAGGAGAGAGCAGGGTGAGGCGAGGTGGCAGGAGCCAGGAGCCCCACAGGAACGGGGACGGAGACAGGGAGGCTGCCAGGAGCAGGGAAGACGGCGCGTGCTCCAGGGACCCCGAGCCCCGAGTCCGGGAAGCAGCCGGCCCTGTCAGGACGTACGGCTCCGCCCTGGCGGGAGGACAGCAGCGTTCTGCGTTGGGGATGGTGGCTTGAGGACAGTCAATAGGTCTGTGACACTCTTGGTGTCCTGGGGCTGCTTCCGGGGCGAGTCTCACCCTCACAACCTCCAAGAGGTGAGCACAGGGACATGGCTCTGGCCTGGGGAGGGGCTGGGCTGAGCCCACACTGACCTCGAACCCTACCCACTTCCGACTCCCACAATCACAAGTGGGACCCGAGCTCTCACTGGCCCCCGTCCCAAGCCACACGCAGTAGGACAGTCACACAGGAGCCCCTGCCATGCTGGAAACCTCATCCAACCAGTGGCTTGACACCCCTCTCCCGGGACACTCCTTAGCCGACATTATTCTGAGATGGGGGAGGAGCAGTCTCACTGGCACCAGCTCCATACCTCCCGGAGAAGAACACCCCAGGCCATCGCCCAGGGACTGGGAAAGGCAAGGATCGTCCCTGGAAGCAAAGGCCCACAAGCGACATGGCACTGGGCTACAGGGCCCACACGAGCCACCTGACGAGGCAGGGAAGGCGGGGGCTGTGTCAGGCAAGAGACCCCTCACCAGCAGCCCAGTCCTGTCACTCGCACCCCTAAGGGAGCTGCCAAGCAGACCTTTTCTGTGATTTTTTCAGGCCTTAAAAAAAGCAAGTACTCACGGCCTCATAGCACCAGTCCTTGAGAATGTCGAGCTCTCCAGAAATCATGGCCTAAACAGGGAAAAAGAAAAATCAGTGCCAAGACGAGTGGGCTCAAGGCAGGAGAACTCCTCGGAGCACACTGCGCTGCGGGGGCCTCTCCTCAGAGACCACAGCCTCCCGCTTGTGGGGGGCTGGGTCAGGCTGCAGCAGGAGGGGTCCCCTACCAGCCCCGGGAGCCAGGCCCCTGTTCATACGACCCGGCTATGGCGGAAGGAAGGCTAGGGCCACGTCCACGGGGGTGCCCTGCAGAGGGGCCCAGGGCCTAGTGGAGGAAGGGGGATAGCTGTGCTCCCAGCTCTTAGTCTGGCCAGGAAGCTGAGTCAAGGAGGCGAGGAGATGGTTCCGCTGTCCCCACGAGCCCAAGCCCTCTGCCTCCCCAGGGACAGGCAGACCAACACTTCCTGACTGTTGGGGCAGCTGGAGTGGGGGCAGGGCGCAGAGGGCACCCTGTGGTGGGAGCTGCATCCACAGGAGCCTGGAGACAGGGCTGCATTCAGTGCCCACAGAGCAACCTGGGGGGAGGTGAGAGTACCTACTCCCACGTGGAGGAGGAGGGGCTTTCTCTGGTCCCACCAGGGGCCTCACAAAGGCCTGACCTGGCCAGGCTGGAAGTGCCCAGGTTCCTGCCATGTCCCGCAGAATGGAGGGACACACGTGGCAGGGAAGAGGCAGTCAACCTGGAGGACCTTGAGGGGACAGGCCACAGCATGACCTTGATCAAGCCTCCCCCGCCAAAACCTACAAACCCAGGGCGGGTTTGGCTGCCAGAGATGCACAAGAAAAACCCTCTCAGCAGCAGGTCTCAGGCAGAGTGTGAGTGTAGACACGGCCCAGGTAGCCCAGGGCAGCGTGCACTCAGCCACCCACAGCTGCTCCCAGCAACTCCAAGGGAACAGCTCCAGGCAGGAAGCATGAGGACATGACACTGGGAAGCCCCACACTGAGTCTGGGGTCAAGGGAGGCTGCCGCCGCCACCAACCTGTGGTGAGACTGAGGGCCTGTGGGATCAGGGCGACCACCACTGCCCTCTCAGAGACACAGGATGGGTGTGGGCAGGGTCAGGTCTCGAAGCCTAGGAAGGGTGCTGGGCACAGCCCAAAGGGCAACGTGTCTGCTCAGGAAACAGCCTCAGCAGCTGACTCCCGTGCAGGGAGCTCGGCCCAGGGAGCAGGCCGGAGAGGGAGCTAGTGGAAGGTGAGGCAGCTGGGACCTGCGGCCCGAGAGGGCCCCGCAGGCTGGCACCCACCTCCAGGACGTTGGGGATGATGTCATGCTCACACTGTTGCAGAAACCGGTCCTTGTCGAAGGCCGGGTCCACGCGGAGGATTTCCGTGAGCACCTCCGACATCTCGGTCTTGGAGAGCAGGCCCCCTGCAGGAGCATGGCGGGGATGGGGTCGAGGGCCCGGGACCCCGCACCGCCAGCCCCAGGGGCCCTGCAGGACTCACTCACCCAGCAAGCCAGTGACCTTGTCTGTCAGGGCTCGGGATGCCCGGATGACCATGTTGTCACTCTCATCATACTTCATCTTCATCTCAAAGAACCCTGCGGGGACAGAGCGGGGGGCTGGGGGCGGGGCCCCCTCCAGAGGCTCCTGTGGCCCCTGTGGATCCGCCCTCGCTGGGTCGGGCGAAGGACGGGTGGGCCTGCGTCCTCCTCTGCACAGCGACCGCTGCCTGCCCACCTACCTGGCAAGGCCGCGGGGACCCCTCCGCTGTGGCCCCAGCGGGGCTGTGTAAATTACGGGTGCCACCCCCACGGGCTGTTGCTTCCACTACAAAGGAAACACAGGCCTCTAGCAGTCTTCACGGGAGAAGGGACGGGCGTGTGGCACAGCCCGTCAGGACCTGGGACCCCCCACACCCACGTGAAAGCAAAGTCCAGCCCTGACACCCGCCAGCCCAAGGCCACTGACGGCACAAGAGCTCCAGGTTCCTGAATGTTCTGATTGAGGGTGCCATCACCAGTCATACGATCAGATGACCCCACGCAAGTGACCGGCCGGCTCTCCTCCTCTCAAAGTAGGATCTGTCTTGTGCCCTGTGCAGGGGGAATGCCGTGGCCAGCTGACCGCCAGGACACGGGTAGCCATGAGCCCCCCAGACGTCTACACTCACGGTTGAACACCACGTTGTTCTCCTTGAAGTCCTTCCACTGCTGGTACCACCTGGAGTCCTTGTGCAGCACCACTCCCAGCGCCTCCCTGGAGAAGATGGCGGGCGGCTGGTGTGAGTGACAGCCCCAGACCGCTGGGCCCAGGGCCATGAGCTCTCCCATGGCTGGGGGAGGGGTGGCAGAGGACAGCAGGTGGCAGTGACCCAGCCCTCGCCTCCCGTCCTCCCCTGTGTTCCTCCAGGTCTCTGCAGGGAGCTGGGAACCTGGAGCAGAAAGCAAACTCGAGAGCAGACTCAGGCAGCCACCCGTGGGTGGCCCCAAACACAGACCGCAGAGTAGGTGTCCAAAGCGGGGCAGCGAGGGGAGGATGGGACCTACTCGTTGGGCTCAAACACTTTCTCCTCCTTGAATTTCTCTCCCGCAAACTCAGTCCTTTTCCGGAGTCGCTCAGGCCGGCGGTAGGGCGCTGTCTGCCCCAGGACACTGTCATCAATCTCCCTCCTCACGGATTCCACTCCCTGCCCAGGAAGCACAGCAGGCCTCGGTGGGTGTGTGGGTTTGGCTGCCCCGGGCCATGCGCCCCGGCCCGGGCCAGACTCACCTGCGAGAGGGCTTTGAAGGCTGCCGTCTGGCCCAGCTTCTCCCCGCCCTTGGACACCGACTCAGCCGACTGCTTGGCTGTCTTGGCCGCTTCTTCCACACCCTCCTTGATCTTCCGGCCGAGGTCACTTTTACTGACTTCATCAAGACTCTACTGAGACAGACACAGAGAGAGGGGTGTTGGTACAGCACCCCCAGGCGGGCATGGGGCACTGGAGGAACGCATGCCCTTGGAGCACAAGCCACACGTGTCTCCCCAAGGGCCAGCACAGGCCTCCTGAGGTGGCATGGGTCACGGCACCCTAAGACTCAGCACATACCCCCAAGAGCACTGCCCATGGCTTTGGGGTGCCGGACCCCAGGCGAGATGCCAGGTCAACTGCCTCTTCCCAAAAATAGGCAGAACCACAAAGCAGCAAGAATCCCCAGGGCGTTGGTCCAGGGGGTGTAGAGGGCGGTGAGGGCAAACCCAATGGCCCAGGATGAAAAGGCGACACAGGGAAAGCCCACCACCAGAGGAGGTTCTCTCTCCCACCAAACTGTTCCTTCCCCTTCTATTTTTAGGCAGTAAAAATATTTTCCTTCCTTCCTCTAGTCCTCTAGCGTCATAAGCTGCTGGGCTGGATGTGGTGGTTCAGGCCTATAATCCCAGCATTTTGGGAGGCTGAGGTGGGAGGATGGCTTGAGCCCAGGAGCTCAAGACCAGCCCGGACAACATAGCAAGACCTCGTCTCTACAAAATATCAAAAAATTAGCCAGATGTGGTGGCACGTGCCTATATTCCAGCTACTCAGGAGGCTGAGATGGAAAGATGGCCCGAGCCCGGGAGTTTGAGGCTGCAGTTAGCTGTGATCGTGCCACTGCTCTCTAGCTTGGGTGATAGAGGGAGACCTCAAGTCAAAAAAAAAAAAAAAAAAAAACC